GACAAAATGACACATACTGAAAACTAAAACTACATATGATGGTGATTTGACATAAAGGTGTAGCAATAATATGACTTAATGCGATATAGTACTAGTTACACCATCTCTTGAAAATCTTTTAAAATTAATGCACACTTCTAATAATTCTTAGAAAGAAATGAAAAATTAACTTAAAAGGTGTAAAAGTAGATTAATGTAGGTTCAGTACTAATGATAAGATTAACTTTAATCTTGATTAAATTTACTATTTACTTTTCTCTGATTTAAATAAGTATTAAATTGAACCGAGATTAAAAGATTATAATCTCTCTCTTACCTTGGTGGAACCTGATCTAGATTAATTTACTTTACTTGATTTACTTACTTTTTATATCTATTTTTACCTCTAAAAATTAGAAAAAGATAAAGCGTAAAATAACCCGAAATTAAAATTAATTTACATTGATAGAAGTGAACATAAAACTCATGACATCGAATTCTGATTAATTTAATCGATGATCTAATAATTTAAATCTTTTAAATAAACGATATTGTGTAAATTATGATTATATCGTTTGTTGTTTTTAATCTGTTTTTCTGCTTGAACAATAAAAAGTTAACAAAGATTGAATAATATAAGAGTTTTAGATTTTAACATCAATTTTTAATGAATTAAAATTAATATTAAAATTAAATTTTAATTATTTTTAATATTAATAGTACTTTTTATTTCATTTAATATTTAATTAATTTTTAATTAAAATGAACTTAATAAGTTTATAAAAAATTCATTTTAATTAAAAATTAATTAAATATTAAATTAAATATTTAGAAACTTAATTGACATGCTTGGAATTAAAAATGTGTCAGATTTCAGATATTTTCGGATTATGGAATACACACAGTATTGTGGAATAAAATGGAAATAATTAGATTAACAGATTTCAGGCAAACGGTTATTTTTATTCATCAAATTTAATATTTTTCAAGAGAATGTAATGAGAAAATAAAAAAAAAAATGCAACAAAAGTACTATTAATAAACTTTTTGTGATAATCAACTTTATGCTTATTTTAAGAGGAAACCAAAGAAATATAGAATGAGATTGAGAAAAATCAGGGAGTTGCGAGTCTTTTAAAAATTATTAATAAGAGGTATTATATCTCTCTTAACAGCCTATTGTTTTTCTTGTCATTTTTGTTATTTATGAAAAATATCAATTTTGACCCTTTTACCAATATCGAAAGCAGCGGATAAACTAAATAAACAGGATAACGGACACCTCATAATGACGATGATTAGCGCTTTATTGTCGTAAACGCAATAGATTGAAGCTCCCCAAGAAACTTTTTAGAATTCTCTTGAATATTTCTCAAAATTCCGACTTTTTCAAAGATTTAATGTATAATTCTATTTGCATTAATAAAAGCTTATAGATACTACCGGATAAGATCGAATAAATTGCCGATTAAGTTAAATGAGTTTAATTGAAGGCTTTTCTAAACAAGGGCTCATAAAAAATAATATTTGTCTATTCGTTACGTTTTTTGCGCGAAACATCGTTTTTTTTCAATTCGATCGACGTCAACGATCATTCGTATGCACATATAATGATCGTGATTAAATTTATTAGAATTAGCGCAAAGAAAAATCGCGACCGATTCTGAGTTTACATGGAAATCGACGACTATCGGTGACGTGCGCGCTGAGGTTTCGAGAAAAGTGAGTGCCACGGTTGTTTAACGTGACGATGTCGCTAATCGGCGCGTTGGCCGTAATTGGTCTCCCTGATCACGATTAATTGGAAAGATCGGAGACACGCGGGTTTCAGGAAATCGCCAATCCTGAATGAATGCGCCGATAAGGATCGATAACCTTCCTCACCTTTTACACGTCCTCGGAAAGTACGCCGATCTTGGAATGCGGAACAACCAGCGGGGCTGTAGGCTAACCAGTTTGATCGACAAGTGTAATCGTCCGGTCGCTAATGATCGTTTCGTGAAAATGGGAAAGCTCCTCTGCTCCATGACGGCGTAATATTTAAAAGGTTAAAGAAGCGACACATTTCTTTCATATCTATTTACATTTTTTTTTTCAGAAATAAGAAAAAGCGAAAGATATAGAAAAAGGTGATTGGTTACTTTGATTATCTACTTATTAAATTTGTCATTCCAAATTTACAATGTGAGATTTTTAGTATTTAGTTCTGTTTGTACTGTAATCATCATATATGATTAATATTCTTTTAATTTAAAATTATGCATTAAACTATGCCATCTATATTTTAATTATAAATGTATGTTATGTAATATATGTAGATATATGTATATCAGTTTCTTTTTTCATCTTGTACATATGACTCCAACACAAATTTGGAATAATATAAATATGTATTAAAATTTTTGACAATATGTGTTTCAAGAATTTCAAGAATCAAAGCAAATTCTTTACACGACGAAAGTATACATGAAACAGATTGCTATTTCATCAGATTGAATCGCTAGTAATTTTGAATAACGAAAATATAACGGATACTTTTGCTAGGTTTACTTTCAATATTAAGATTTCTTTTTCTTTTTACTTTTTTATATTTTAATTTTCTTATTCACCCTTTTTAGATATCTACTTAGAATAAAATAGATTTTAAGGTTTACACATACTGACATTTTCTCAGTTTTAAAGGATAGTCAGTATACAACTTACTACTTTTATTTCTTTACGTGTATATATCGATAATAAATAGCTGATTAATGATAACTTTCAGCATTCGTAGAATCGCCTATATGTAATTGACAATATCTTAGAATATTTCGCATTATACTATCAGTATTTTACAATGCATATGCTCTTCGCTGTAGTAACAAATATTTAGTTCTTGATTTAATTCTATTAAAGTCTTTTAATAAGAGAGAAAAAAGAGAAGAAATAAGACGATCTCCAAGAATCTAAATCACATTCCAAGTTTTTTTCAATGCAGTATTTATTATCTCAGTATATCTCAACAACAATATATATCGATAGTACATTATATTCTTAGCAACAATATCAGCTTTTTACCTCAGATTATTCAACGACGATTACTTGAGACATAATAACGGACATATACAGAATTCGGTTTACATCTGAATTACAATAAATATACGAAGCTCGTATAAAATAACTGTTTGATCCAGTTAAAATTGGTGTATATCGCTTGAATACAAAATATTTTTCGTGCGTGCGGTTTAAGATTTCATGATCGGTGCTGTCTTTACTACTCGAGACGCGATTTATAATAACATTCACGGAAACATTCCGGTATATTTCTCTCCAACTAGATTCTAAATCATTTGCCACAATTGTCTCGAGAAATAGTCGCGTTAAAAAAATGTAACTGAAGCTTTGGCAAGAGAAAAGGCAGAACGAGTAGTAAAGACTTGAAATTCTCGACGAGTGAGTCGATTAGACAACGATTGACGCATTATTGCTTCTTACAATAGCCTTATAAATTATCAACATTATCCTTTTAATCTTCGAAAAACAAGTATGTACATTTACATTAAACTTACGATATCCTATACAATATACAAATTCTTTATATATATATAATTATAAAAAATAAACGCGATGATTATAAAATGGATACTATGTGATCCGATTAAATGCGTTCGCTGCTGCTTACCGCTTATACGAGTTCTTCGTTAAGCATACACATGTATAAGTAAAACATACATATATATATTTCCAATATATTTGTATATACACATTATATTAAAAATTATACATAATATGTATATAAAATATATACTATATATATATATGTGTGTATGTGTGTGTGTGTGTGTGTGTGTGTTATATTCTTTCTTTCTTACACGTCAATCCTGAGATCTAAAAATACAATCTAGTTTATCTTTTTTCTCATTAATCGTGCCGAACATCTGCCATCTCTCACTATTTTACAAGTAAAAAAATATATATACGTTACTCTTTTAAACATGTAACTTTCATAAACATAAAAAAGACAGGAAGAGTAAAGAAGAAAAACTTCTGTCTGATTCGTTCTCCATCATAATTTCTCTACGCATGATACATCGATAAAAATATCGTATTAATTGCGGGCGTGAGAATAATTGTCGCCCAAAAAAGAGATTGGATTAATTATTATAATAATAAATTCTATCATATTGATCTTCCACCACTCAATCGCAAAACAAAATGGCTGATAAGTGCATTTACTTCTTTGGTTGTATGAGCCCTTAATTTTATATATAATTACTCTGACATACATATACATTTCATATAAGTGATAATAAATACTTAAGAAAAAAGGGGGAGACAAGACATCGATAGAATTTTCAAATTTCTATAATTATCCAAAACGATAGAATCGCGCATGTAAGAACAATTAAACAATCACTACCTCTCTTATGCGAGATCTCTTTATGTGCTTTTATCAAAAGGCGTAACACTTTATCGTCAAGGCCACAATTATGTCGCTATCTAAAAAAGATTTACAAAGTGGTGTCTATATATGATAGGAGTCTAAATTTTAAAAGTCTACAACTTTGAAACGTTATTGAGAAGAGCAGAAGAATAATAAATTTATAATATTATATTCGCCAGTCTACAATATCACTTTACAGCGTATGAATATACAGCTGTCTTTGTATCATCTCTACGTGATATAAGATATCGAATTCTGAGATTCTTTGTATATATCGATACTGCTTACGTCAGCAAATAGATAGTCTGTAATTTTATACTCTTGTGACGCATTATATTGCGCTAATTTCTAAACATGTACTTTCACGTATGCTACATTCATGATTCGTATTATTCGCTATTTGTATAAATTAACAATTTGCTTTCGTTAAAAAGTAAAAAAGAAGAAACAGGAAGTTTACATTTAAATGTAATTCATTTAATTTAAATTTATTTCATAAATGTCGTGAAAATTGCTCTATCCGTAAAAGAAGAAACAAGTCTCGATCTTATAAAATCTTAGCTTATATCTCATATTATTTGAAAAATGTCATCTGAAAAAAGCGTCTCGTTGAAAGCGCCTATTACAAATATCTGTTTTTGGATGAGCAGCAGTTCAATGAAATGGAAAATCGAACTTTTTGACGTTTTTTGCGGGGCACACCCCTCTCGGGTAATTTCGATAAATGCCTGCACGGGGTGCCCTCGTGGTTCGGTCGAATACTTATTTGGTCGATTGTGAGATTACTCTATAATGAATTTCAATGAAGGTTTACAATTACTTTCGAGAAGGCTGCATATTTACTTAATAATCTCATTAAATACGGAACACGCGCAACAAGGCACATATACTTTCAAAGCTATCACACGTGTTAGGATGAATTACGTTTACTCTGCGATTAGATCAATTAAAAGAAACTAGGTTAGCACCAGCCTAATTTTGTTAGGATGAGCAAGTATAATTGTTCTTAATGTATTAAAACTTTCGCAAGCTGCGTAATGATAGCCGCAAGAAAAAAAGTTATCTGTATGTTCCGTCTCAAATATTTGTTTTCTGCTTAGGGAATACTATTGTTATACAATATGCCTATAAGCATAATGATTTTTTTATCATCACTGTGTATAGTTCATTATCGCAAATTGATTTAGTGTCAAATTTAGCTCAGCGTTATTTTTAAAGGCAAGTATAAATATTTATCATAATAATGATAAATTTGCAGTATATATAGTTTAAATCATTTAAATGATGTCAATGCGACATCGAAATGTTCTAAAAAGAAAGTATACGCAATGCAATTACAAAATCAGTTATATATGTATAATTTTCATAAATAATGCAAATTTTTTGTTCCTGTTGTTTTAGAATCACATAAAACTTTGTAAAAAGTTGTATAATACAACACATTTTTTTCACATATCTATATTACCGTTCCCATTGTAATAGCGAATTATCATGTAATCGTCTAATTGAGATTCTTTTTTTCTTGTATTGTCTTTTATCTTCTTCACTTAGCATAATACTTAATGTTATATACCCTGAAAAGCTTTGTTTTCCAGATCGTCAAAGAAATATACAGTGCTAATGTTAGCATTAGTATCGTCAAAAGTAGAAGAAAATGTCATGAAGTTAAGATTAATATGTTATTATCAAAGGTTAATTCTATATGTTCATATCGTAGAGATGTGGAGGAGCACCTACCACTGAAGGCATCTGGCAGCCACGTCGTACTAAGAGACGGACAGATGGTCCACCGTTACGTATAATCTCAATCGCTTCTGTATGCGTCATATTTTTGGTATTAATACCGTTTATTTCGATTATCTGATCGCCAATCTAGAAATAATATAAAATATTTTTATATATGTATATTATAGTACATATGTCTTTATAATTTAAAACGCATTATATTACTAGCATACATGATTTAAATTGACATTCAATTAAAGATTAAATTTGATGGACCAATATAAACCTAGAACGTGAATTTACGTACGATAAAATTTTCAATTTTGTTTTAATTCTTTACAATGTTTTAGGATGTTTATTAGTATTAATATCAATTAAATTGTTCATTTAATTTATGATATTGCTATCTTAAAGTTTCAGCTTAAAATTACATTTCGAAGACCAACATTTTTAAATCGACGCGATATTTATAAAACTGAATATGTACATAAATTTACAGATAAATAAATAGCACTAAGCTCCAGTTTAGATTGAATAAAATATTTTCTTTACTTATTATATTATTCACATATCGGTCTAATATTATTTATAGTTTGTTTAATTTATAACAAATAAGTAAATTACTTTTTTTTATTCAATTAAACCGAAATATAGAATTTTACTCACTCTAAGTCGGTTGTCAATAGATGCTGGGCCATTATCTGCGATTTGCAAGACGAATAACGGCATGTTTTGAAATTCACGGCCCCCACGTATGCTGAAACCAAAACCTCGAGTGCCCCGAGTTAATTCTACAGCATGGTATTGACCTCCATCTCCATCTCCTGTAGGCTCGTCCTAAATAGAAAATTCAAAATTTCAATTGTTCTATAATCAGTATGAATAAATAATAAGTAAAAAAAAGAAAATACTCTTAAAGCAATATATTGCTAAATTTAGATTGTTAAATTAAAAAAATTTTCAAAGGCGATCTATACCTTTTGAGAAAGAGATGTATTGCTACAGCAATCATCTAACGGATATCCGATCGTCAATGTAACGGAATATCCAGAATCTTTAATTAAATTGACGATATCCTTGTGGCAAACGTTCGTGATATCTATATGATTGACAGCGAGAATATGATCTCCAACGTTTAATCTTCCGCATCTTTCGGCAGGCGAGCCTTCAATTATCCTGCCGATCGTGGAGCCGGCTTTGTTGACGGAGGAGATTATCACAAAACCAAATCCTTCATTTTCCATTCGAGTAACAGTAACATCGTATGGATATTGAAGATTCATCTGTCGGCCGTAAGATGACTGAAGATTCTCTTGAAGATGTTCCTGTGTATTGATTCGACGTCGTATTCCCAGAGTCACTCGGCCGTTTTGCGCTGCCGCTATCATTAGTTGCACTACATGATGATGCGAAGAATTCATGACGCTCTCTCCATCGACAGACATAATCAGATCGCCAGTACTGAGTCTGTTATCAAGATCAGCCGCTCCACCAGGAACAATATGACCAACCGAAACCTGCTAACCGTAATATTTTTAATATTTTCCGTTTTTATTAAATGTGACTATGCTTGGTTTTGCATCATACGAGAATAATATTAATACGGATCATTAAAACCAACCTGAGATCCTTCTTCCGTACCACCGACTATTCTAAATCCGAATCCCGTATCTTGTCTCACTAAAGTCACTAAAGTTTCTATCCATTCTATATCGGGTACCATTGGACAAACCAATTCATTCGTATATTGGGGATATCTTAAATTAATATCAAATAAAATTATTTTATTTCAATATTTTTTTAACTTTAGACATATATTTTATCTATATAATAGTTATAACATTAATTTAAATGCTTTAGAAAATAAAAACAATTATAAATAAATTCTTTAAAATTTTAACTCTTTTAATAAGAATGACGAAACGATATACATACCGAGATATGGAACTGGAATGTGGTTGTTCGTGTTCGAAGCTGGTGGTCTCTTTCCGCTTATCCCAGATCTCGCCAGTGTCAACATTCTGCTCCTGTCCAATGGAATACATATTGTAATCTTCATTGTACTGGGAATGCGATTGAACTGGATAAACGTCCTTGTAGTAGTCGGAATGCATGTATCCGTTCTGCTTGAGCATATTATTATGATGCGAGATGTCGATAGAGTACATGTCGTTATTGATATTCAACTTGTCGTTTGCCACCCAGTCACGTTTCGGAACGTTCCTGATGGAATCGTCGTCGAGATTCATCGCCGCGAAATTGTCCGACAGGTTGGCTGTGATGTTAGCTTTGTAGGGATCCGAGTAGTACATCCCGTGTGAATAATCGGAATACTTGTAATGATTATCCAGCGGATTCAATTCGTTTTCGCCTTGCACTTCGTTCCAGTTCGATCTATTCGCGCTGATTGGCGACTTGGGTCGATTTCTCGTGTCGATCAACGGTGTTTTCGGCCTGCTGGGTATTACCGTTTTCGATTGAGTGCTGTAGATATCTGCGGTGGGTGTCTTACTTCTAAAAAAGTCCTGCGCGCTCTTCTCCTTTTTCTCTTTCGACTTTGTTGTCGTTCGTTGAACGTGTATCAACGCCTCCTCGCTGCGTGGGCAGTCTTTCAGCACTTGCACTACCTCCAAGTGGCACATGTTTCTGACATTGATGTCGTTTATATTGACCAGAATATCGCCTTCCATTAAGTTCTTACAACGCTGACGATCCAGAATCTTCTTGACTTTCTGGCCATGAGCAGAATCCGCTATCGTAAATCCGAATCCCATAGCTCCCTTTACAATGGCGATGCTGAGAAACTCTGGCTTGGAAGACACCGACGGGTCCTTACAATCGTTCAGATCGCTGCTTTCCGACAGCAGAATGTCCGTGCTGCTCGGTCTTTTAATCGTGTTGATTTTGTCCGAAATGCAGAGATCGGGCATTGAATTGACGGACGTCGTGGCGAGATTCTCACCATTTTGTAGACTATGCACTGGCAAGAAAGTGGAATCGAGAAAATTGAAACGTCCGTTGTCTGGGAGAGACGAGTTCAAATCCATGTACATTGCGGGATCTTCTGTTGAAAACAGATCTATAATTCTAATTCTCTGAGACAAAAGCATCAATATATATATTAAATATCATTATAACATTTGCTTTACCTGGTGCGTTGACGGCGATCGTGGTCACAACTTCTGTATTAGGATCATTAGGATCGAAAGGCAATGGGTAACCTCGACACACTTCCAAAGATACCGTCTCGCCGCTACCAATCGACTTGAATACATTTACCATTTCATTATGCGTGAATCCTAGCACGCAGGTATCATTAACGTATACTAACACATCCCCTAGAAAGAAAAACAATTGTGCGGATATATGCGGAAGCGGAAATGAATTACACGCTTGAGAATTAGCGGTATCTGGAAATTACCGGTTTGTAGTTTCCCATCCAGCCAGGCTGGACCATTTGGCACGACGCTTTTAATTTGGAGGAATTCTTCCACGGTATCGTCACCACCAACAATGGTGAATCCCAGGCCCCGTGAACTCTTTATTAAGGTAGTTCGTATCCTCTGACCCTTCAGTTTGTCGGGATTTCTGGTGAAGTTAGGACTCTTCCTCTCAAGCAAGTTCTGTTGCGCTCTTTTCGCTTGCAACACCGGATTTTCATATTGAGTCCTGCGATTCACGTGATCGATGAAATACGTCCCGTACAGAGTATCGTCGATTTTCTCCCAACCGTAGGGTAACTCATCGTCGAGGCATTCTTCCAGGGATCTTTTTTGAAATTTCGACAGACGTGGGTCCAGCCAGTGAGACGTGCCCGTATTGTGGCTGTAATACGGTTCACAAACCCTTCTTTTTACATATTAAAAATAATAAAAAAAGGAGATATGTTACGTACAAGTATTTTAAACGATTTAAACCGAATTGTTACTAAACTTTAGATATTGTACGTATTCTTATAAGTTACTTCTCTTTAGAATTGTTAATTTTAGAACTAGGAAAAGATGAAGAGTCAGGTAAACCAAGATTAAAATTAAACTTTGTTGGTAGAAACGCGGGCATTAAAATCTTCTCATTACAATAAAGACGATATTGCGTACGTACTCTATGAAATAAACTTCTCCCGTGTCCGTATACGCCTTCTCCCAATTAGGTGGTAACGGACCTAATTGATCCTCCGTGGCTGGAGTGCGATTTCGAGCGGCTTGTTCCTGATCCGAGATTCCCGTGCTCTGCTCTGATCCCGTATTGTACAGATACGACGGCGGAATCCTTCCTCCATCGTTACCACCAATTGTTAATATCTCCTTGTCTAGACTCTCTCCTTTAACAAATGACATGCGCGTTAACTTTGCAAAGAACAGGAAATTGCATTATCTCGATATATTCGAAGACAATAAATAATTACCATCGTTGGGATTGTCGATAGACGCTGTGTCGTCCGTTTTCGCGGCCATCTCAGAGTCCTTACGTTCGTCTCAAAAGCCTGATAAGAATAATGTAACTGTCACGAGGTAATTTAATTACCACAAACCGTAATTTGTAAATATAACTTAATAAATATAAGCTAAACTGACGTTAATATAATCTGAAGCAGAAGTTGAATACACCACAAATCCCACCAACTTGTGAGAGTAACTTCAAAAAAAGCTAAACACAGCTTATATAAATAAAAAACTATATAAATAAATAATATAAACAGAATATGTATAAAGCTTAATACATATTCTAAAAAACTAAATTGACAATTCCCATCGAATTTTCCTTAAAATATAGAGAAATAGAATATAGAAAGAAGTAAACATAACTATAAATAAAGTAAATAAACAACATCCATGAAATTTTCCTTAGTTGGAATATAGAGATATAAACATAATTAAATAAAGTTTAATATCTACATATATCGAGACACTAAATTGAGTCCCACAGAATTTTTCATGAAAGTAAAATATAAAAAAAAAAAAGATTTGCGAATTAACACGTCAAATGCGTTGTTGAAACCTTCAATCTACATAACAAAAACCATGTACTATAGATAATGTATAACGATGGATGAACATCGCCTCGCATTAAGTATATATGGTCGAAGGTTCAACCTCGTAATTAAAGCAATTCACCGGAGCCTTAAGACTGCCGTTCCGAGGGAAGAGAACGTCGATCGAAACACACATACACACAGAATGTATTGTATTACTACGTTCTATCACATACGAAATATGCACAGAATGACCGTCTCTAGATTATAGCGTAATGAAGAAAACTCGTCCCTACGAAGCACAGCAGCATGCAACACGCGTCACATATCACGTTACACGCTTCACAGAAGGTGAGCCTCTCTTTCTTCTCGACGACGACGACGACGACGACGACAACGTCGGGATGCTCGCCGGCTTTGATAGCATTTCGAAAACAGCATGTACAAGCACGAAGGGGGAAAGACGGAAAGTAGAACGATCTTAATCCACAGTCTTAATCTCTGCAACCGTTACAGTGTCCTGTAACCGTTTCTGCAATCGTACCTTCGACAAGAAAACGTTTCATTGAGCCACATCGAAAACGAGATCAACGTACACTCTAGGTTCCGGAGCGGACGGGAAGTAAAAAGAAGCAAAAAAAAAAAAAAGAAATAAAAAAAAAAGAAAAAAAAAAAAAAAAAAAAAAAAAAGAAATAAAAAAAAAAAAGAAAAAGAAAAAATCCGACGGAAGGCGCGGTCGTGGCGAAGCGTATTTCCAGTCTGCTCCGATCCGCGCGGATATACTCTCGGGCGGATTCGATATCACGTGCTCGTGAGATCTTCGGGGGCCCCAACTTGACGCCGCCGCTCCGACGATCGCCGCACACGTTCTCAGACGGACAGGTGTCCCGCGGGACGGGGCGCAATTACATAAAGCGAGGAAAGGAACGCCGGCGCGAGGGAGGGGGGGGG